AACGTCAAAATTGGATTACATTAGTAGTTCAGAGTTAAATAGACTATCAAGAAAATTATAATAAGTTTTCAAAAAATATCCAAATATTTTTTTAAATTATGCAATTAAAGTCCCAAATCTAATTTATCTTATAAATTTTATAGAAAACTTGTTTTAACTCAAAAAAATATAAGTCTTGTTTCAAACTTTTTTTAATAGTCATGGTCTTTAATATTATGCCTAGCTTGAAATTAAATGAAAAGTCTCTTTTTAGTGTTTATTCACTGATAGATACTCTTATTATCTGTTATAATCAGTTTATGTTGATGACCATTATCTGTTGTAATCAGTCTATGTTGATGGCCTAGACTAAAATTGAAGCAACTTGTGTAACAATACACGCGTCATGTAACTACCTCACACTTGGTCCTATTTTATATGAACACATGTGTCACTTGTACATGCATGCTTACAAACACACATCCATACTCACGTCTATGAACACAAATTCATCCTCTGTGAGCAAACATATTTTGAGATTGATAGTCATAACAGAAATCTCAATGCTGACAATTCACAATATTTTGTCAACTTTTTTCACATTATTCTTTGTGAGACTGTGCCAATTTTGTGTTAATAATTCAGATCTCACCAAACAAAATCCATTTGCATGAATATTATATGGAAATAAAGGATGCTCTAGCTAGTGGGCCTGTCTGAGTTAGCATCATGAACTAACTAGATTGTTCATTTCCTATCCAAAACACAAAAGGATACAACCATGCATATCCATCTTTAGATGCCGAGCATTCACTTATGTTTGTATTAACTAAGATCAAATATGAGGTGGTTACGTGATATTTGTGTTGTCAGACTAAATACCAGATAACGAGAGCATCCACTAACAAATAAACACCAAAAGAAGAATGCATAAATATTATTCAAATAATTTTTGCTGGTATGATAAGATAGAGCATGATTTTGAGAAATTTGAAACTAATCTCATATTTTTCTAAGCTAAAACAAAATTTCAAAAATCTTAGAAACTTTAAATGCGTAGTTTTTTTCTAAAAGCATTTGAATATTTTTCTAAAATTGTATCTATGACCTTTTTTTATAAAGGCTAATTGATCTCCCTAAACTATCAACCTATAGTCTAATTTAGCTCCATTAAGAATTATGATGATGTGGCGTCAAGTAAGATGATTGGCATAGCGTCGCATTGGCCAAAATAGTTGTCAAAACCATTTGGGGGAGCAAATTTGGATTGTTTTAGAAGTCGGAGTAGGTAAAAAAAACGTTTTTCAATTGAGGTAACAAATTATGCTTTGCCAAAATTTGGAGGACATCAAATGGATTTTTTTCCAAGTGTTATTCCTGGATCAGAATTGGGCTTAAAAGGCCGATGTACACTCTAGGCCCAATAGATGAGAACAGCCCTAAAGATCACGTGCAAGGTATTTACGGGTTGATTCTAAAAAAAAAAAAGTATTTACCAGTTTGCCCGTTTGAACCATGCACGCAATGATTGTCTATCACGCTATATCTTTTATGTCGTTGTCAATACTTAGTTAAGCTAGCATCTGTCTTCTCATAAACTCAGCAACCTCTTAAAAAGCCAAATCTTTGTACTTGAACAGATAAGAGGAAGAGGTTCATATATCATGCAAAGCAAATCGCAAATCGCAACCACTAGTACTGTTAGTAGCTTCTTAAGGAGTAAGGAGCAGGCAACGAGAGTACAAAAACGAAAGGTGGAGAACAAACTCACCTTTACAGGGTAGTGGCAGAGAAGCGGGAGATTCGCCAGGTCGCCGGTCTCCACATAGTTCACTCCACTCAGAGGACATCCAGCAACGCTGCGCGCGTGCACGCATCATTGCATCAATGCATTGGAGAGAAGAGAACGATCCACGAGAACATGCAACAACGATGAAATTAAAATCGGTACCTGGAGTTGGAAGGCGTGATCATGGCGACCCAGTCGGAGGCGTCGGGCTTGCGGACGCCGGAGACGGTGACCTGGAGGAACGCCTCGTCGGGGAGCGCCGCCCCGGCCCCTCCGCCGCCGGTAATGCTGACATTGATGGCCAGGTAGGGGCTCGGGTTGAGGCACGAGTCCAGCTCCTTCCGGTTCACCGTCCTGAACTCCGACTTGCCCGCGTAGCTCTCGTGCATCACCGTCTCCGGCGCCGGCAGAGGCGCCGCCGCCCAGCACGAGACGGCGGCGCAGTACAGGCCGAGGAGCACGAGCAGCAGGGGGAGCAGCGGGGAGCTGCAGGAGCCTTGCTGGAAGAAACCCATGGCGAGGGACTGCGACTGCGCGCCCGCGGCCTGCGTGTGGTGGCTTCGTGCAGCCGCGCGCGCAAAACATGGAGTGCCTGGAGCGGCCGGAGAAGGTTATATGCCGGGCCCGGGCCGCACCCACGGCAACGGCGGCTCCGTCACGTCTCCTCTTGGCCCGTGTGGACGGCAATTAGCAAGACGATGGACGCATCTCTCAGCGGCAGGGCAGCGGAGGGACTGAGATCGATCTATCCTCCTGCAGCCTTGCTGCGTCCACGAAAAACACGAACACGGTGGGAACGGGCGGAGCTGCCGATTCCTCTCCTTGTCCGGGCGTCGCGATCAGTCACTAGAGAGAGCCGGCCGGGCTTATATACGAACCAGTTACGCCAGTCGCCAGCCAGCCTTCCCCTTGCGTTGCTCCCCGACGTCCCCGTACGTTGCCGTCTGATGGACGGACCATCGTCTTAAACGGCGACCGACATAAATGGTAACCAGCGAGACGACGGAAAAGAGGGGGTAGTCTGATCTGTGCACAGACTGCGTTAATTAATTGTGTAGTTTGATGGTGACGGACTGGTAAGTACTACTAGCGCAATGTTTGGCAAACGGGATAGAAAAATAATATCCCACACTCCAAAAAGTAATATTATATCTTAGCCATTCATTCTTGTCATTTAATCATAGCTATTCGTTCATTTTCCTTTCCTTATCACCCCCTATATTCCAATATCCAAATGGCACCTAGGAGTACACGATGAGGCATGAGGGACCATCTGTATCTTTAGGATGGCACAACGTCTCAACCGAACGCGCAGGCGCAGGCGGATCGCAGATAGAACTCGTGCACGGGCGCCGCCGGTGCGTGCCAACCTTAGGCGGCGAAACGAGCTGAGAGGGCGAGAGGCGCATTAATTTGTCGTCACGACAGGCGGTAGTTTTCAGATGGGGACGATTGAAGGCGGAGTACTCGTTGCTAGCGGATTCACCGGTTTGGCACGGCTCGACGATCCTGCAGAATATGCTTCTCCGCGCGAGGCTGGGAGCCTGGGAGCAGTGCAGGATCGACAGTGCAAAAACCCAAAATAATCTTACAGGTGGTTTGTTTGTGCACTCAACGCGCACGAATTCTCATATACGCATGCTTCGATCTCTCGGAATATTTCAAGCATGATGCTGAAAACAACTTACGGACCGTATGGGGATCGAAATTAAAACAATGACTTAGCGTGAACGCTGTCCACCAGTACATATCAACTGAGGAGCTGATGTACAAGCGCAGAACAACACAAGGGCGTCACGCCATCGTGTAGTCGAGCTACCCGTTCGGCTTGCTGAAACTTAGTTGGAAAATACTGTTCTGGCTGAATTGTTGTGAGAGAAAAATACTGTTCTAACTAAAAAAATAAGCTAAATAGTGCGGATTATAAGGTAAGCCGAACGGGGCCGCATCCAAAGGAAGTCAGCGATAATTTTGGTATCAGTATGAACAGAGATAAGAGAGAACTGGCCAGCCACGTTGCCGTGATCGCATTAATCATTATTCATTAGAGAGCTGCTACTGCACCGCATTCTCTTGGGATAGGGGGTATCAGGTTTTGAGGTAAACCATCAAACATGTGTGAGCAAGTTGCCTTTTTAGTTCCCAAAATTTTACAAAATTTTTCAAGATTCTCCGTCACATCGAATCTTTGGACGCATGCACGAAGCATTAAATATAAATAAAAAATAAAACTAATTACACAGTTTAGACGAAATTCACGAGACGAATCTTTTAAGCCTAATTAGACTGTGATTGGACACTAATTACTAAATAACAACAAAGTACTACAGTACCATTTTCTAAAAAAAATTACCAACTAAACGAGGCCTCAGTAGTAATCGAAGAGTTCTGGCCAAGTTTCAGGATGTCACAGATTTTCAGGTCACGTTCCGATCGAATCAAATTTCCATCGAAGTAAAGTGACAGTTAACACAGATTTGAAATAACTCAAGCAACATTTTCGTTTCAAAAATAATAATAATAATTCAAGTAACAGGAGGAAAATGCCTTTATCCAAATTCTTGAAGTAATAGATCCTATAAATTCCCACAATAATCCTGTGCCCAAACTACTCTATACAGGTTGTTAGCTTAACAGGGCTACACTGACAAGACTGTGCCCCCAAAGCACGAGGAAACCTCAAGAAATAATGATCTCTTGATATGCATAGATATACTGATGGTTGTTTTTTCTGCTGAGATGAGATGAGTTGAACTGCCCATGAACCCAAAAAAATGACCGAGAGGCCAATGCTGATTCTCGACCAAAAAGAAAGAGAAAGACGTCCTCAGTTTATATATCTGCTACTGAGAACGCTTCTGATACAGATACAACGACTAAGTATAGAAAAGAGAATTCCAGGTTACCAATCTACTGTACAAAGTAATTTCCAGTAGGCACATACGACTATCTTTGAGTGTAGCACACAGAATCTGCAACCAATCCCATATAGTCCAATAAAACTAGAAAAGACTGGCAGAGATGGCACCTGGACAGAAGTACTATTACTGAGGCTGGAGCTGGAAACTGTTAGCAACAAAACCACGTCAATATAGTTTATTGACAATAGCGGGAGCTACGTGCCTTAGCACGGTCGTGCGTAAAAAACAATAGTGGGAGCTGAACCCAAATTTTACTTACTTTCCATTGAGTATTCTTTTGAAGACCATATCAGCAACATGAAATTTCAAGCTCAAATTTCATCTATCAACTTCAGTTTAATAAGAAGAGTGAAACCCAGATCACAGAACTGCGACTGCAGAAAGTGCATTTGAACTTCAAAGTCATCCAGATGCCAAGGAATTCAATAATGAGCTGGGCTTGCTTAAATAAATTCGAGTGTTTATTCGTATGCACACCTAAATCCTTCTTCCAATATTTCAGTGTATCAATCATCCCACTGGACCATAGAAGTACAATCCATCTCAATATAATTCCAAAATTTGAGTGGAAGTTTGTATTCATCTTGTTAATTTCCACTTTTGGGTTACATCAAAAACAAGCAGACCTGTCCTATGAATACCTCCACAATGAAACAAATCAAAGAGTCTTGTGTTCACTATTTCCGCCCAATATTTAGAAGTATGGAACCTGGGGTCGTCCACTTTGACAGAGCTCAAACCTTTTTTTTGGGGGGGAATCTAGAGAAGAAGACGCAAAACGGGCACATGTGTGCGCTACAAAATTTGCCTCCCGTCTTACATGAATCAACTCGAAAGAAGTGAAGGCTGAAACTATCTCTTCTATCTCCTTCAGGATTGCTGCAATTTCGGACCGTTGCCTGGTCCTATTCTTCCACAGCGTCACCACTTCTTGAGCATCAGTCTCCCCGATGATGTGTTCCATGGTTCCTTGTGGAATCAGACGCAAGCCATCTCGAATCGCCTCTGCTTCAGCTATCAATACCGAGCCCACAGGGCCCAGCCACCGGGCTGATGCCGCACAGAAGTTGCCGCTGCTATCACGGACCACGGCCCCGGCTGCTCCAGTACCACGATCTTGCAGGAAGGCGCCATCGGAGTTGATCTTCAGCATACCTGGAGCCGGAGGACTCCATCATGTTGACAGTGGCCTTGTGTTCTTCCACACATCACACTCCTCCACCAGCCTCCTAATCTTCAACACATTGTCCCACCGTCCACCCATAGCATAAAGGTCAGATATCAACGTATATAATCCAGCGTTTTCATCAGATATCTCCAGTGCCAATACTTTCTCCATTCCCTGGATGGCAATCTCAAAATCCTTGGCCTTCTTGCATGCTGCCAACAATGATGTCCATATGATGACATTTGGTTCCACTTTCATGGTTTTGATAACCTCATAAGCCTCCAACAACCCTGCCTTCGCATAGAGATCAACCATGCACGATGCACCCATAATGATGTATATTCGGCTCAAGGCGATATCTATCAACCATAAGCTTAAACAGCTCCTTCCCTTTATCCACCAGCCCAGCATTCACACATGCGCTGAGCACAGCTGTAAATGTCATCTCACTTGGTTGCACTCTTCTTTGACACATTTCCTCAAACAGATGAACAGCCTCGATGTTGTGCAATTGTGAACCCATACCACAGATCATAATGGTCCAGTGCACAACATTCCTTTTAGTCATCCGAGCAAACACACGGGTAGCGTACTCAATGCGGTTGGTCTTGGCATAGTAATCAATGAGTGCCGTTCCAAGGTGCATACTGGCAGGGATGGAGTGGCGTACAGCATAACCGTGAATGGCCCTGCAGAACAGCGGTAGAAAGCCAGCTGACGCGCAGGACGTGAGGAGGGTGGCGAGCATGGCACAATCCACAGCAATATCGGTGGTGAATGTCATTGTACGGAAGAATGCAAGGCCATCAGTGAGTTGAACATTGGAGAAATAGCAAGCGAGCATGGTCGACCGAGACTCAACGTCTTTGTCGGGGATGCCATCGAAGAAGGTGCGCGCAGAATCGAGGTCAGAGGAGCGGCACAGTGACGCAAGCATGACGTTGAGGACGTAGAGGTTGCAGGTGGTGGAGGGTATTTGATCGAACAGTTGGTGGGCAGCGGGCGGGGAGAGGAGCGAGGAGGCGACGTGGGGGTAGGCGAGGAGATTGGACCTGAGTAGGTGGCCGTGGAAATGGGAGAGGAGTGGGAGGGAAGAAGCGGCGGAGAGCAGCTTGAAGGTGAACACGGCGGCGCGCCAGGCGAAGTAGGATGGTTCCGAGGGGCAGAGCCGGAGGCGGAGGAGGGAATAGAGGTGGAGTGCCGAGTATGGGCAGGACGCGCCGCGGAGGGTGTTCAGGATGTCGCCGGCGGTGAGGTGGTGAGTAAGGGACATGGGGAGACAGCAGTGGCGCGGCCCGCGCCGGCGCCGCCGGCCGCCGCGGGGTATTCGGATTGGCGTCAGGGCAGGCGTGGCCAGTGGCTCGGCCCACAGCGTTGGCATTGGGTCGGGACGGTAGGGCCGCATGTGGGCCGCCCAGTCGACAAGGGCACACTGCTGCAGAAGAGAGGCCCGTTTAGTCCTCTTCATCTGATTTGTCAGTTTATCTCCCAGCGGAGTTTCAGTTGATCTCGACCAAATTTTGGTCTCCGAGTCAGGTACGAAATACGTGTCCTTGCTGTACAAGATTTGTCAAATATAGATAGATGAATTTGAAGTATATATAGGGGTAAGTCATGAAAGCATAAAACAACCTGCACATGCCAGGGAGAGGGAAATATATATGGTATAGTTGACATCCATATAAAGGAAACTAACTGGACTGGCTTTCTTGGTAATTAAGTTTTCTTCATGTGGGATAGACTTGGACTCTGCTTGTCCCATCAGATTCTTGAAGATATTTTTCCTTCAGGTTTGATCAGGGGCGGAGCTAGAGAAATATTGATGTGGGTGCGGCCGTGTGGGCTTATTTCATAACAATTACTTAGATATATATATTCACACGATAGTGTAATTAATAACACCATTCGACCCTTTTCATTTGAGACCTACTAATTAAAAATGATGTATATCAATAATGAAGTAGCGGTAATATGCTTACCATTTATCAAAATATAGTTAGAGGATGCTACAATTACAAACAAAAGATTGTCGACATTGACAAAGTTCAATCCTCAACCACAAGATCCTCTTTGTGATTTAAAGAAAAAGAGAACAAACAATTCAATTTTATGCAAATAAAGAATGATTCATTGAAAAAAGAAAAATAGATGCATTACGTTATCATTTGTAACTATGTTCAAGCCAATTTCTAAACTCATCGAAGCATTCCGATTCAAACATTTTAGGATTACCTTTTTTCCTATGTTGAGGGAGACCTTTCCATATTTTTTCTAGCATCCATAAGAATATTTAAATTTTTAGTTGCTTCCACTGACATCAATTTTCAAATATCAGAGAAAGAATCAAATAGCCTAAATGTCGGATACCACAAGAAGGGGTACCCTAAGCGAGAACCGAAAATATTGCTTAAGCCTTGCAAAAATCAAAGCCAAAGTATAACCACGAGGTCTCGGCAGATTCTCTGACTCGCCTAAGGCTTGCGCCGAGGCCTCAGACGAAAGGCCAAAGCCCTCCGCCCCGCCGAGGCCCCGCGCCGCAAGGCCTCGGACGGGATACCAATTCTCCGATTCGCCCGAGGCTGGGCTCGGCAACAACCTCGTCACCTCCGTCCCGACCGACTCCTCTGACAAAACGTCACGTCCAGTTAATGCGCCCCACTACTCCCGTAACGTCGGCCGCCGCGTTGGCGCGATCTGAGCGAGAATGACCGACGGACGGGGGACGGGGCGCGGCGAGGGTTACTCGCCATCGTGCTCATCATCGTGCCCTAACGACACCCGTCTTTGCCTGTGCTACCTAACTCCTGCGCCAAGGACAAAGTGGCGTGGAGGGTCAAGTCCGGTCCTCGTAGTCTCGGAATCGGCATGAAAGACCAACTGTTCGTCCTCCGCCTCGTCCGAGACCCCGGCGGGAGCCTCGGACGTACTATTCCTTCTCCGCCTCGGCGAGGCCGGGCTCAAATCCCGCATCCTCGTCGCCTCCGCCTCAACCGTCCCTCTGCGAGCCGTCCCATCCGTTTAAGTGCGCTGATCACACCTACTACGTCGCCATGGTGGCGGCGGTGGTACAACAGGAGGCGATGGGATAGCGGTCAAATCTCCTTTTTACCATCCCCTACTGACGGTGCAGGGGTTACCGTGCCCTGTGGACACACGCTCCGCACTTTTTCACCTAAACCGGATACGACGCTGACCACCGAGACCCCCGCATCATACACGGGTCACCTCCGAGGCCTCCGCAAAGCAGGCCTCGGCACGATCAGCTACAACACCCGTCAGGCCTCGGCACTCCACCAAGTCAAGAACCCACAAGGCACGGCATGTCTCCTACAGTGGAGGCCATACTGACTAGACGTCAACAAGAACTCCCACGACCTCAACAACCTCGGCCCTGGCCAGCACGGCGCACCAGTCAAGTACCAATCACCATTCCCAACACCATGCTGCTACAGGACTGAACTACAGTAGGCTCCACGTGTAGCTCACTCATGTACTCCTGGCTCCCTCCTTGCGGTTATAAAAGGAAGCAGCCAGGGATAGCTCTAGGGGGCAAAAAAACATACGAAAGAACCACGCTCTCACACACGCGCAAGCGACACTCTGTAACACACGCTCTCCCAAGCAGTCCGAGAGCAACGCCTCAAGCAGCCCGCACTGTTCCACGCCGAGACCTGGGACTAGCTCCCTCTCTCATCTAGCTTATAACCCCCTACCACAAGCACTTCGGTGCAAGGAATACAAGATCGATCTCTCAGACTGGACGTAGGGCGCCAATTGCCTGAACCAGTATAAACCTTGTGTCTCTTTGCATCACCATCGGGGATTAGGGGCACGCAGTTCAAATTCACTGGTTGGTTGAGAACTCCCCGGTCCGAAACACCGACAGTTGGTGCGCCAGGTAGGGGAAGACTGCGTGTAAGCTTAATCATCCAAACAAGTCCCGGATGGCAGACCCCATACGACCACTACATCTCGGCACGATGATCTGGTTCGGGAGCCTAGAGTTCATGTCTCTAGGATACGAGTACGACATGGTACTCCTCCCACCTAGAGCCCCGTCAACCGACGGCGTCATCACGCACCAAAGCCCCAGCGCGGGGCGACGCCTTGGGCCCGCCGCTCTCGTCGCGCTTCGCCGCGCGCAGCGTGGGCGGGACCACCCGACACCAGCGCAAGTTCGAGGCGACGATCCGCGCTCACTTTGTATCCCATGCCCGTTGTTGGCACAGAGTCCCCGGTACAGGGGACTCAGATAGCTTAAGCCTGGGCAAGGGAAAGACGCCGGTGGCGCACAGCGACGCCCCGTCATCAAGCTCTGCCCCGCCACCTCCTGAGGAGCCGAGTTCTTTCATCACCCCATACGACGAGAGCAGCGGCCCGGGCGCCGCCCGCACCTGGGCTGCTGGTGCGTGATGTCGCCGTCGGTTGACGAGGCTCTAGGTGGGAGGAGTACCATGTCGTACTCGTATCCTAGAGACATGAACTCTAGGCTCCCGAACCAGATCATCGTGCCGAGATGTAGTGGTCGTATGGGGTCTTCCATCCGGGACTTGTTTGGATGATTAAGCTTACACGCAGTATTCCCCTACCTGGCGCGCCAACTGTCGGTGTTTCGGACCGGGGGGTCCTCAACCAACCAGTGAATTTGAACTGCGTGCCCCTAATCCCCGATGGTGATGCAAAGAGACATAAGGTTTATACTAGTTCAGGCAATTGGCGCCCTACGTCCAGTCTGAGAGATCGATCTTGTATTCCTTGCACCGAAGTGCTTGTGGTAGGGGGTTACAAGCTGGGTGAGAGAGGGAGCTAGTCCCAGGTCTCGGCGTGGAACAATGCGGGCTGCTTGAGGCGTTGCTCTCGGGCAGCTTGGGAGAGCGTGTGTTACAGAGTGTCGCTTGCGCGTGTGTGAGAGCGTGGTTCTTTCGTATGTTTTTTCGCCCCTAGAGCTATCCCTGACTGCTTCCTTTTATAACCGCAAGGAGGGAGCCAGGAGTACATGAGTGAGCTACACGTGGAGCCTACTGTAGTTCTGTCCTCTAGCAGCATGGTGTTGGGAATGGCAATTGGTACTTGATCAAGCGCCTGTGTCTTGGCTGTGCCTAAGGTTGTTGAGGTCATGGGAGTCCTTGTTGACGTCTAGTCAGTATGGCCTCCACTGTAGGAGACATGCCGTGCCTTGTGGGTTCTTGACTTGGTGGAGTGCCGAGGCCTGGCGGGTGTTGTAGCTGATCGTGCCGAGGCCTGCTTTGTCGAGGCCTCGGAGGTGACCCGTGCATGATGCGGGGGTCTCGATGGTCAGCGTCGTATCCGGTTCAGGTGGAAAAGTGCGGAGCGTATGTCCACAGGGCACGGTAACCCCTGCACCGTCAGTAGGGGATGGTAAAAAGGAGATTTGACCGCTGTCCCATCGCCCCTGTTGCTGTACCCTGCCAGTAGTGGCTGACGTAGTAGGTGTGACCAGGCGCACTTAAACGGATGGGACGGCTCGCCAGAGGGACGGTTGAGGCGGAGGCGACGAGGATGTGGGACGAGCCCGGCCTCGGCCGAGGCGGAGAAGGAATAGTACGTCCGAGGCCCTGCCGAGGGGTCTCGGACGAGGCGGAGGACGAACAGTTGGTCTTTCATGCTGATTCCAAGACTACAGGGACCCGGACTTGACCCTCCACGCAACTTTGTCATTGGCGCAGGAGTTAGGTAGCACAGGGCGAGACGGTGTCGGCGTCGGGAAACACCGATGAGCACAGCAAGCGGTAACCCTGCTGCGCCCGGTCCCCTCATCCCGTCGGTCATTCTCGCTCAGATCGCGCTAACGTCAAGGGCCGACGCTATGGGAGTAGTGGGGCGCATTAACTGGACGTGACGTTTTGTCAGAGGAGTCGGTCGGGACGGAGGTGACGAGGTTGTTGCCGAGCCCAGCCTCGGGTGAATCGGAGAATTGGTATCCCGTTCGAGGCCTTGCGGCGCGGGGCCTCGACGAGAGGGCCTCGGCGGGGCGGAGGGCTTTGGCCTTTCGTCTGAGGCCTCGGCGCAAGCCTTGGGCGAGTCGGAGAATCTGCCGAGACCTCGTGGTTGTTCTTTGGCTTTGATTTTTGCAAGGCTTAAGCAATATTTTCGGTTCTCGCTTAGGGTACCCCTTCTTGTGGTCTCCGACACTATCCCTAGAATCCGAACAGATAATGAAGAAGGTAAGAACCACAAACTGAAATCAATTTAAATACTCAGACAGTCAGATTAATGGAAAATTGAAAGTAGAGAATTTTTAAGTCTTATTTTGCCATTGAATCTTGATCAAGAAGTTAAGAACAAAAGCACGGAAGGGGTAGGGACATAGGGCAGCACTCCTGTCTCCTCTCTCCTGGTGTTTCAGCGCTTCAGACACCTAAGTGGAGGCATCTGGCCGCACGGACAGCAATCCAGCAGCGCCAGCGTGCTGGCCGGTGGGTGGTGGGTGTGGGGGCGAATCTGGGA